ATATATATATCACCTAAACTATAAATATTTTCATTCTTAATTTTATGCACCAAAGAATTACAAATGTAAATATAAAGCTTTAGAGGTAGATATGTAAATATATAGGATGTGTGTGGTGTTCATGTAAATTTTCCTAATTATAAATATTAAAATTTAGATATTTAAATTATAAATGGTATCTATCTAAATTTTTGTATAAATATTCAAAAATCTCAATTGAAAAAGAATTCAGCTGGTTTGCTCACAGTTCCAATTATTTTTCCAAAGGTTTTGTTCCATTTTCCTTCTCTCTCAATTCGTCTTCTTCGGTCGTCACAGTTAATCTCGCTGGCCGTCCATGGAGTCACTAGTTACTTCCGCGCGAATCTCCTGCCCTTCATCCTCCTTCGCTCCTCTCTCCATCTCCTCCCCTAAAAGAACGAGCTCATCCATGCGCCTCCCGCATCACCGAATCTCATCCAAGAGTACCTTCCGCGCTTTTACTCCCTTTCCCCCTTTTCCTCAATTGATTACACGACATAACTGATTGTTTTTTCAAGCTCTGTCCAGATGGAGATGGGCATGATTTCCACCCCGACACCGAGGATACGGCTATCGTCCCTCTGCACAAGAACCGCAGTTCTCTTATTCGTCTTCCTAAGGTATTTGCATGCATGAACCCTTCATTTTTCGTTAGATCTGATTAGAGGAATATCTGGATTCGTATCAGGATGAAGCGATGGGACTTGTTCTGAGCGCGGCGGTGGGGCGAGGTTGGACTACGGGATCCGGAATGGAAGGTCCCGCTGCACCGGAATCGGATTCCATCGATCGAACTGTCTCGACGTTTCCGTGGTCTCTCTTCACTAAATCTCCTCGGCGGCGGATGCGTGTCGCCTTCACCTGCAACGTTTGTGGTCAGAGAACTACCCGCGCCATCAACCCTCATGCGTACACCGACGGGACTGTCTTTGTCCAGGTATCACATGCGATGTGTAATCTTTGATGGAAAAATTTTTATCGGTTTTGTAGTTTAGTGTTTTCTTTCTAAATTTTTGGTTGTGTGATCGGAAATAGTGTTGCGGCTGCAATATCTTCCACAAGCTGGTGGACAATCTTAATCTGTTCCATGAGATGAAGTGCTATGTGAACCCGACTTTTCGTTACAAAGGGGATGTGAGCATCAATTTCCTTGATGGTGACGATGATGACTGGAATATCTTCCCCGTTATGTGAGTGGAATGGATTCGCTTGGGAGGATCTCTGGGCTGGTTAGTAAAAAGTAATCTATGTAAATCTAATATTATAGTTACAATGATATTAGATTTATCAGTTAACATTTGTATATAGATGTTATGTTTCAAAATCTGTGAATTTTTAGTATGACGCTATTCTCTTTGAATCTAAGCCTTGATATACCTTATCTGGAAATTTACTTGTGGTGTTCTGTGTATTTTGTAAGCGCTGCCGCTATGGGTTTATTATTGTTGATGCCTTCCCTGATCCATACATGAAGTTGTTGATCTACCAGGTGCTCATGGGTATATATGGTATATATGTCCACAAATTTTGTAGAAAGTGTTCATGATTTCATTGGTGACATCCAACCGTTTGCCTATTGTTTTGGTTGGAAATGGTTTGTGCACTTTGGAAAATACGCATTTAAAAAAAAGCAGTGTCATTTAAAATCTAGGGAAATTAACATACATGCCACACAACTCTTATGTATTTACATATCTTATACCTAAAGTTTGATATTTACACTTCTAACACCTGGATGTCATAAACCTATGCTTACAAATCTGTGTTTCACTTTAAAAAGATATTAATGGCTGTATTTTTTATGTGATGCTAAAAATTTGGGTGTTTTTCATGTAAATATGAGTGTTTGGGTTTTAGATATGTAAATGCATAAGAATTGTGTGGTATGTATGTAAATGCCCCTAAAATCTACCTGTACTCTTCTAGTGCTGCAGTTTTCATTTGGAAAAATAAGTGCTTTAATAAGATGAAGTTGATATCATTTTTAATTCTTTTTTTGCATTGCAACCTATATTTTGTTAATACTTTTCGATATATAAAAGTGAGAGTCATTGCACTTAGAAAGATGAAAATGTTATTTTAGAAACTATTAAGTGAGAATTATGAGGAAACTTTTTTAGATGAGTACCGTGAACATAATCATGAAGTACTCCAAAGAAGTGAAATTAGCTTTGTATTTGGAAGATATATAAAAGTAAAAGCCTTAGGTCTAAAATAAATTCCTGGATTTGAAGAGTATTAAGAGCAAAAGAGATGTTCAGGATGGTAATAGTTATAGGCAAATTAATCATTTGTGTTACATAGTGAAATTATTAGGAGATTAAAGAAACTTGTTGGCTTGGGTAAATATGTCCCTTATAGTGAATCAATGTGATTTATTGCCAATATCTTTTATGTAGATGGTTGTAGTGCTAAGGTAATTGTCGGGAAAACAAGAGATAGGAGATTAATGACTTCTATTTGCTGAGCTTGAGAAATCTTTTGATCAAGCACATAAGAATTTACTTGGTGTGCATTAAGTAGAAAAGGCTTACCTCAATGAAACATTCAATTTATCAAAGATATGTGTGATCGAGCATTTTCTTGCATTATATAGAGTGACTAAAGGATTTACATTCATTATAATAATTAATATTTAGTCTTTAGCTCATTGTATTGGTTATGAAAGTACTTACTTAAGATATTCAAGTGACAATTCTAATAGTTGAGATCTCTATTGAAACGACTAAAAGGTTGAACGATGAAAAAAAAAGACAATAGGATTATAATTAATTGGGCAAAGATTACATTTTATGATATATAATTTTAGTGGAAGTGAAATTTATTGTTATAAGATTAGTGCTAGCTAAATGTGGCCGGTTTTAATCTCTTGGATTTGTGATACATAAGAATAGGCATGGATTTTTGAGTTAAAGCTAGTTTGGTCAAATAGAGATGTGCTTCTGAGACTCATGGGTCATTTGATGCAATGTTATTCAAATAGAAATCTTATTTTTCGAATGTACTCATAAATTAAGAATACGTTAATTATTTAAAAGAATCAATATTGATTAAAGATCTTTCTTTTCTCCTCCTCTTCTTTTTGGCTATCTAAATTGAACCAATCATGATAGCATCCACTTTGGTTGTTACTTAGATTACTTCAATCTTGCTTAGCAATGTTATTTAAGTTGCCTAAATGCGAGTGGCAACTTGACACCAATCATTTTTTATCATGAGTATGATGTTATAGTGTTGCATCAATGAAAACATTGAACTAAATAACCCTTCAAAGGTATATCTTATTAAAGTATATAAAATTCGTATGCTAATCAAATCCAGATATTAGGTGATGAAGAAGTCATTCATATCTGAATATCTGAGTTGTTGTAGCAAAAATGAGACTATTAAAATAGATGTGTGGTCAAATAAAAAATTATAAATTTAGAAATGATTATAGGATGAAAATATTGTGATATAGGATCTTCACAGCTGTCAAATCTTCTCCAAACAAATCATCACTATTTATACATTATTCAATCAGTTTACTATAGTTAATTATATTTCCTTTAATCAAATACTTTTCTGATTTAATCATGATATGATTAGATCTTATTTTGTTGCTATATAACTAGATATAAAAATATTTGATTTAATCATTTCGATCATGATATAGTCATATTGGATTATATGCCTGTATTTGATCGGCTCTATATAATAAGGACCGGTTTTTTTTTCCACCAGTTTGATGCAAAAATGGTTTTTGAGGCTGCCTGGACTAGTTGTATACTGGGTTCACGATCGAACTGGTTGAACTAACTGTCCAGCCCTGGTTTTAAGACCTTGCAAATTGAAGTTTTCACCTTGTGCGGCACTCAATGATAATGAACGGGAAAAAAAGGCTCATAAATCTTGCCCCAAATAATTGGGATAAGATTATTGACAATAATAATGATGACACTACTGGGTTTTTTCTTATTTGTAAACTTATGGAGATTGCGAATCAAAATTTTCTTATATTGCTGATTAAATTCGTTTACAGTTCAATTCCCACTTTGTTCAGCTTGTTGTCTGAATTCTTCGATTGTTTAGCATTTTTTTTTTTTTTAATTTTCTAGTCCTGGAATAAAATTCTCTAATTTGTTGAAGATCAACTTGAAAACACTACAGCTTATTCGGTTAATATCAAACTGAGAATACATCGAAGGGACTGAGATTTACACGAGACCAGAGGCATGACTTTATTAATGCTGCCAAAGAATTTCTTAGATTTTAAGATTAGATAATTCGCTTAGCTTAGTCTTCCTTGAACCTGATATGCTCTTTGGATCAGAATTAACTCAATTATGGAGAATTTAGAGCCAACTAGTATTATAATCATGCCAAACAAGATGATTAAACCTAATCTTAATTTAATCATTCAAGATTACCTAATCGTTCAACTTAAGTTAATCTAAGCTCAAATCAAGTGCCTCTAGGAATGGGCCATATTTCCATGACACTCAAGTATTGTAGTTATCTGCTATAGCAATATTCATGTTGACAAGGGCAGATTACATGCTATCAGGGGTAACACAACATGAACATCAATCTCGAAGCATATTGTTTTTTTTTTTTTTTTTTTTTTTTTTTGGATGGCAGCGAAATTTTTGCATGAAAGATAGAACTTGAACTCACCACCTTCCCATTTTAAACGTTTGTTATACCCTAGGCCACAATTATTATTGTGAAAAAGGGGGACATCCTGTGCTTGATTGCATAGCACACTGGTTAGAAATAAAGTGAAAAATTAGAATATGTTGATTTTGAGCACTCATCTACCTGAAAGAAATGGACTTCCTTTCAATCAGGAAGGACAGAATCAAGCCGCTAATTCATGAGTTTTCTATAATTAGAAGTTTCCTTATTTCCAATATCTTTATTCTGGTTTGTTTCTCTTTTAGTTGAACATTTAGCTTAGGAATATGTATTATTAAGTTACCTAAAATATATTATGCATTTTATTTTGTACCTAAAATAGATTATAAGATTGTTATTTAATGGAATGAAAGCAAATGTAAAAGGCAATCAAGCCTATTCAGTATTCAACCTATTTTTCTCAAAACTTTGACATGGTATCAGAGCCAAAATTTTTTCCTAACCACCAATAATCGTTGGAGAACCATCAAGACTCCCTTCCCGCCTGCCTTCTTGCGGGACAGGAAGGGAGAAACGATTTCTTTGCCTTGATTCTCGCTCGTCTGCTCGTCGTCTCATTATTTCTTTGCTTGCGTTGTCTTCGTTCTACTTCGTCTTTCTCTTCGACTCGGTCGGTCTCTACAGAGCCTCTTCTTCGTTCGAGCTCCACCCGCAGTGGCTCCCGCCTTTGACATGGTATTGGATTTCCTTCGCTAGCCATCTCTGCTTTTGCGGCATCTTTAACTGCTTCTTCCGTTGCTTCGTTTTCGGCTTCGACAAACTCGGCTTCGGCACTCTTGGGCTTCGCCCCACTCGGGCTTTGACACTTTTGGGCTTCGACACTCTTGGGCTTCGGCAATCTCAGGCTTCGATCTCTCGGGTTTCGACCTCTCGGCCTTTGACCCTCTTGGGCTTCGACACTTTTAGGTTTCGGCTTCTCTGGCTTCGGCACTTTTGAGCTTCAGCAGTTTTAGGCTTCGGCACTCTCGGGCTTTGACACTTTTGGGCTTCGACATGTTCAGACTTTGGCACTCTCAGACTTCAGCAATCTTAAGCTTCAGCAAAATTTTTGCTTCATCAGTCATGGACTTCGGCATTTTCAGACTTCAACACTCACAGCTTGAGGATTTTTTGTCCTGACAATGTTATCAGTTTCTTATTAGCAAATTGATGCTTCCTGATCAGCCAGCATCAATTTGAGGGGGGGTGTCAATCAGGAAGGACGGAAATCAAGCCGCTAATTTATGAGTTTTCTATAATTAGAAACTTCCTTATTTTTAATATTTTTATTCTGATTTGTTTCTTTTTTAGCTGAATATTTAGATTAGGAATATGTATTATTAAGTTACCTAAAATATATTATGCACTTTATTTTGTACCTAGAAGAAATTATAAGATTGTTATTTAATGGAATGGAAGCAAATGTAAAAAGCAATCAAGTCTATTCAGTATTCAATCTATTTTTCTCAAAATTTTGACACTTCCTAGGAGGTCATCAATTTTGATAGTACTCTCGCTTTAATATGCTTAACCGCGGACTATGATGCACTGGTGTTGATATGATCACTACTATTTTGATATTACTCTCGCTCCAGTACACTTAACCGCGGAGTTCTTATGAAGTAAGATGTATTGGTGTTGGTGCATTGATTGACAAATAAATACATTTCTTAGTTAGAATGGTTGTTATATATATATATTCTTAAAGTTCTTTTACTAGATCGAATTCTTATTGATATTTCTCTTACTCGATGAAAAGATTAAAAAAAAAATCCTTTTATGATAGCTTGCTTCAAGGAAAGATAGCCACTGGTTGTTTGGCATAGTGATTTTGGCAGTCAGCTCCAGTATGGATAAACTTTCCTTTATTACTGAAGCTTGAACCGCTGACCAGTTAATATTTGAAAGATTTACATTCATGCCGCTCAATTCTTATGTATTTACATATCGAGTAGCCCACTTTACCTGATGCAGAAAATGTGTATTTCACTTTTTAAAAGTTAAAATAGTATGTGATAGGATAGATTTGGGTGGTATGAAATGTGAAAATCAAAGTTTGGGGGGTATGCATGCAAATGCCCCTATAGTTCTCCAATTTCTCTGATCGCATTTCTTGATCCCTTTGCATTCTGCTTATTGCGACTGGAAGATAAATGTAAAAAATTATGCTGAAACTTTTGAAGGGTTCCACTCTGTCTATGCCTGCAAGAGTATATTTCATTTTTTTTTCCCTCAAGTTAAATATTTACAGATTTTGATGGTATAAATGTAAAATGTAAAGGTTTTTGGTCTTAGAAAGATGTGAACGCATTGATGCATTAGTGATTCGCCTCAACAAACTAGACGCTTAGATTCTTCCCATTCTCTGGTCAGATGATTGTTGTAGAATGAACATGAAAAAAGAGTGGTCTTTGCTAAGTGGGCATTTTGTTTTTTTGGGAAATTTACATAAATGCCGCATAATTCTCACATATTTACATATTTGACTCCTAAAGTTTGATATTTGCATTTATAACACTTTGTATTAAAAAGCTATTCATGCAAAATGTTTATTTCATTTTTATGAAGTTATTAATAATAGTATTTTTTTTTTATGTGATGTTAAAGATTTTAGCGGTATGCATGTAAATAAAGTTTAGGTCCCCCATCTTGGCAAAACAATTTATTTGTGCTCTTTTATGTAATTTGTATAAGACGGATTATAAATAACTTAGTTAATACTAATTTGATATTTTGTGATATTGGTAAAGTAGAGGCCATGGCTGTTGAATAGTAATTGTTGGATGATGCAAGTTAGGACATGATGTCGGGCGCCATTAATCAAGCGATGATGATGATGATGATCGAATTATAGTGATTAAGCAATAACGGTTGATAGTGGTGGTGGTCATTAGTGTTGTACGTCGCGTGGAGCTCTAAAATTTTGTAATTTTGTAAGTTCCCTCTCATCAAGTCGCAATCCCCTTCATGTATAGAAGAATGTGATTTCGTTTATAATTTTAAGAATGACATTTTAGTTATTTTGGCCAAAGTTTCAAAATTCCTATTTATGGTTGTAGATGAACCATTGCACTTGTTGAACCACTTGAACTGGACTCGAGTAAGGTTCGTTCATGTTCGTTCAAATTAGAAATAAACAAGCTTGAATAATTTTTAAAAGTTTGAAGCTTAAACGAACTGAACATGAACATGGTCGAACTTGTTAGTTTAACGAACAAACTCATTTGTCGTTCAACATGTAACTCCTTAGATATTTGATATTAAGCTCGATATAACTTGTATTATATATATGATATATTATTTAAATAAAATTTAATTAATTAGAATTTATTTAATTATAGATTTAACAGTAATATATTATTACAGAAATAATATTTTTAATTTATTTACTAATTATATATTTTATTAATATGTAAATGATAATTTAAAATGAGTCATAAAAGATTTTTCTTGTAGAGTTTTAATAACTTTGAGTATAATGAGTTCATACTGCAATTTCCAACAATATTATTGTGGATTTCCTTATTGTTATTATTTTCTTATTAATATGATTAAATAGATGATCAACCCTATAACTTTTAGGATCAATTTAGTTCTTCCACCAACAAAATTTGAACTGGTGTTGTCCTATCAATAAGAACTATTTAGTTAATTAGCGAAGTTCAAAGATTCTAAAATCTATTAAATTTTTAATATGAAAATATTGATTATCGTTTGAATTTTTAGCTCATTTATATATTTGTTCAGTTGTCATAAGCAAATCAAGTACAATCAAGTTCAAACAATGAAAAAGTTTAAATAAATCCAGCATGAACAATGTATGAAAATTTGAAACAAACTCAAGCTAAACATGAACAATGACATATTCGGCTCGGCATGATTACAACCCCACTCATATTAAATGTTAACATAGCTTAATTCATGGAAAAATATTTATTTGGCTAAATACAACTCATGCTGCCATCATAACTTTTGCTTTGTTTTTCGGCAAAATTTTAAAAATCGAATTTTTTTAAAAAATTAATATTAAAAGTCGGCCAAGTAAAAATAAAATTTATAAAATAGGCAAAATCATCTGCCATGTGGCCACACTTTTCAAGGAGCTCTTACATGAGTTGCTGTTTATAGTCCCACAGCCTCTCAGGTAATATAAATAAATAAATATACATTTAATTATTTAACACTCCTATTTTTAGATTTTTTAAATACCACTACTATTAATTATTTAAATATAAATGTAAAATTATATGTCATGTAAATTTTTGTAAAAATCACTAATGATATGCAATAGCTAGTAATTGATGAGGTTGTTATAAGTTATAGTGATTATTCTTTTGTTAATTGCAGAAATTATGATTTAATTAAGAACATTATTAATTTTTAATTAAGTTTTAATTTATAAAAATCCATTTTAATAATGATGGAACATATAAGTTTAAAAACTTAATGGGAGTTAAATATATAACATAATATTTAAAGTAAACCTAATTTAAAAAAAAATATTAGTTGAATATAATATTATGCATTTATAAAAATATCATTTTAATGATAATTTTGATACATATAGTAGTGATAATTTTGATATTGCTTAAAGGATATAATGCTTCAAAAATACAACTAAAATTTTAGATGTTCAACATCATAAATCACATCATAAATCACAAAAATTTAATGATTTGCATGCAAAACCCCCAAATAAAAATGCAATCACCTCACCACATGCTCTACAGCAATGTTCTGTCCTGGTTGATAAGCCGCTTGAAGATTCTGAAGCAAAGCATCCCTACCAGACAGCAAATTCTGGAAAAATTCATCAATTCCACTCGAAACCATATCCACAGCCTCAAATAGCTTCTCTGCACTTTCAGCCAATTCTGAAACACATTCCTGCATTCTTTTTCCTCCTGATTCCTCCTCCATTGATGCAAGCTCTGCAGAATCAATAACATTACACTGACACCCTAAAGTTTCTTCCTTTTTGCATACAAGCCCATGTAACCTCCCCCCACACATCTTCACTGCTTCCACTTCTTTCAAAAATACCGCCTTTTCCGTCGAAAGACGAGCCCTGATTTCTGGGATTAAAGTAACTTTCAGGTCATTAAAGGCCTCAGACCACAAGAAGTCCCCAGAAACATGAAGCTCCATTAAAGGCTTGGAGGAACCTGATAGTGCTGCTATTACAATGCTGAATACAAATAAAGTTTCAATTTTTACTCCATAAAGAGCTCTCATTAGCACCTTTCCTTTGGCCGAGTTCCTCGCCTTTCGAATGTGTAGTTGTTCTGCAAGTTTCTGTAAGATGCTACAGCACTCTTCAAGCTTGGGATTTCTTGACTCAAACCGGCGAGTCAGCTCATGATGAGATTCGACGGCTTTTCTTAGTTCGTCAGAAAAGGGAAATTTGTTTGAAGGGATGTTGAATGCGTGTAAAACATGCTGTAATAAGAGCTGTATTTGATCGAACCAAGAAAGCTCGGACGTTAAAGCGATGCAAATATCGAGTAAGTTTATGCTGTCGTTCAAGTAGGCGTTCATCCAACTACTATCCCAATCAGAGAGGGGGAAGTGAAGATCGGCGATTAAAGCTTTGATGCTCGTGTGAATCTCCGATAAGGACTCGACGGCGCGTCGAATCCAAAGAAGGCTAAAGATTTCGGACGAATCCTTGGGCACAAGAGCTCTCAAGCTTCTAGATAATATAAGCTCAAAATCATTCAGTAAGGTTGGGGGTTTAGATGAAATATGAGATTTCTTCGAAAAGATTTGCCTGAAAGGGTTTCCAAAAGTGAAATGGGAATTATGCCCATCATCTGTACTGCTCATTTTTTTTATTCAACTCTGCTGAATAGAAGCTTTCCTTCAGTTTCAACATTTATTACAATGAAAAATACAAGAAAAACAAATAGAAGGGCCAATTTCTTTTATGCTGAGTTATATTGCACGAGCAAATTTACTGTAAATAACGAAAAAAACCTTTTACATGTTGAATGTATGATAATTAAGCTTCAACTGAAACCTTAATCAAAAACTTAAAAATATAATTTCTTCGAGAATCAATGCAAAATATTAAGCGCAATGTGAACACCACAAATTAATAAACACTTATTATCATAAATGCATGGATGGAATTGACGTAACCCACGAATCCTAAGAACACTTCTTCAGCAAAAAGCAATAAACTTTAGGGACATTTACGTACATACCACCCAATTCCTATGTATTTATATAGAACCTAAACTTTATTTTTTACATTTATACCACCAAAATATTTGATGTCACATGAAAAATACCATTAAATTAACTTTTAAAAAGTGAAACTTTTTTATGCATAGGTAAGGTGACATATATGTCAAAATTGAAGTTTGTGTTAGTATGTAAATACAAAAGAATTAACCAGCATGCATGCAAATGTTCCTAATTTTTAACGAGGAAAGTTCAACAATGTATGGATAGTTAAGCTCGTCAAACTAGAACAAATATTTTGAGTGCGTTGTCACGGGCTAACTTTTCCCAAGTCACCCGTGCGACTTTAGCGCTCTCCTTTAGCACTAAATCAGTCTAATCCTTACAACGTTTGGACTTGTGAGCACCAAGCACTCTTAAGAAGAAAAGTAGAAAAAAAAGAACACTTCACACTTAAATACTTGAAAGCTTTGATTCAAAGCTTTGGTGATTACAAATGAGGGGAGGGACTCCTATTTATAGCCCCATCCAAGCCTAATAGAACATTCTAGAGCACATTAAATTATTCTAATTTCTAGAGAGTTCTACATTCTTCTCTTATTACACACATAGCCCTCTAATTTCTAGAGAGTTCTACATTCCTATCTTATTACACACATAGCCCAAGAACATCCTAAGTTATTCTTAATTTCTTCTTGGAGCTTTTCCTCCTCTTATTCTTTAGAATTAGGTGGAATTTTCTAGAACCCCTTGGATGACTCTCTACATTCTAGCCTTCTCTAGAATCTTTCATCCCATGGTTGTCTTGTCAATTTCTCGTATGTGGCGGAGCGTGACAGTGTGTTCTCAATGCACGTAACACAAACAGAAGTACATGAGTATTTGGACTTCATTCAGTTGTTTACCAGCTCAATACAACATAACAAATTGTATAAGCAAATACAATTATACAATTTTTTTTTAGTTATTTTCCTAAAACGAGCTCATCTGCTGAAGTGACCGAATCGAGTCCACCTGTAGAAGTGACTAAATCAAGCTCACCTGTCGAAATAGTTGTACACATTCATTTTGTAAGGACGGTCTAATAGCCCACTTGTGCAGGGCCAGTTATCGAAGAAGGCCATCATGATCATTTGGGAGAACAAATATTTTGAGCACGTCAAACTATAACAAATATTTTGAGCCATACACATCGACTAGGTGTATGGTCGAAGAATAGTATTTAAGTCTTGGGCTGCCCACCACCCCGAATAGCTCTTTTGGGAAGTGACAAGTGGTATCAGAGCAGATTACTGTCTGTCAGGTGTGTGAACTCTCCATGGTCAAGTAGGACCCTCAGAGGAGCTGATCCGTGACGAGGGTGTCACGTGATTGGGTGGAGAAGAATATCACGGACAAAAAATCTCACATTGGCTAGGTGTATGGTCGAAGAGCAGTATTTAAGTCCTGGGCTGCCCACCACCCCGAAGAGCTCTTTTGGGAGGTGACAAGTGGTATCAGAGCAGAATACTGTTTGTCAGGTGTGTGGACTCTCCATGGTCCAGTGGGACCCTCAGAGAAGTCGATCCGTGACGAGGGTGTCACGTGATTGGATGGAGGAGAATGTCACGGACAAAAAGTCCCATATCGTCTAGGTGTATGGCCGAAGAACAGTATTCAAGTACAAAATATTCATTTCTCTCTATTATGCTTCTTAAGAGTGCTTGGGGCTCATAAGTCCAGTGTTGTGAGGGGTAAGGTTGATTCAGTGCTAAGAAAGAGCGCTAAAGCCACACGGGTGACTTGAGGAAAGTTAGTTTGTGACAGTTGGTATCAGAGCTTTGGTTCGAGAGAATGACGAAAAGCGTCAAGGAGCATGTGATGGAGTCGGAAGCCACTAATGTTGAGTCGTCTCAAGGGCGAGATCGTCAGGAGTAAAGGGATCCCGTTGCACCAAAGCCGCATGGGAGGTCTAAGGAGATCATGCATAGCTTTGATTCATGCCTTGCTCGGATGGAGGAGGCAATGAATGACATGGAGGGCCAAGTAGAGGAACTTGGCCAAAGGGTTAATAGACTCGAGGAGGAGGGCGTCACCATCCATTCAACAATCAGAGGTATGATGCTCCAACTTGAGGATACCTTAATGGGTCAAGTGGCTAAGTTGCGAGAGGATTTTATGGGGAAGCTCCAAGAGGTGTGAAGTGCCTATAAGGAAGAGATGAGTGACATGCGTGTTATAGCTTGGAGGAAATGCGTGGGAACATTTTGTTGTGCAAGAAGACACTCGCGTCATCCACAAGCTATCCCACTTTCGAAGCCAGGAGGATTGAATTTCCAAAACCTACGAGTTTTGGAGGTATTTGCAACGCGAAGGAAGTAGACAACTTCATATGGGGACTAGAGCAATACTTTGGAGCGATGGGGATTGCCGATGAAGATGCAAAAATATAATTTGCTTTTCGTCATTCCCTCGAACCAAAGCTCTGATACCAACTGTCACGGACTAACTTTCCTCAAATCACCCGTGCGGCTTTAGCGCTCTTTCTTAGCACTAAATCAGTCTTACCCCTCACAACACTGGACTTATGAGCCCCAAGCACTTTTAAGAAAAATAATAGAGAGAAAGGAATACTTTACACTTGAATACTTGAATGCTTTTGATTCAATGCTTAGGTAATTATAAATGAGGGGAGGGGCTCCTATTTATAGTCTCCTCCATATCTTTGGTCTTACATCTAGCCAATGTGGGACTATTTCATGTCCAAGAGAAGCTTTTTAAATTACAATATAATATTCTTCATTCTCTCGAACCAAAGCACTGATACCAACTGTCACGGACTAACTTTCCTCAAATCAACCGTGCGGCTTTAGCGCTCTTTCTTAGCACTAAATCAGTCTTACCCCTCACAACACTGGACTTATGAGTCCCAAGCACTTTTAAGAAAAATAATAGAGAGAAAGGAATACTTTACACTTGAATACTTGAATGCTTTTGATTCAATGCTTAGGTAATTACAAATGAGGGGAGGGGCTCCTATTTATAGCCTCTACCATATCTTTGGTTTTACATCTAGCCAATGTGAGACTATTTCATGTCCAAGAGAAGCTTTTAGATTACAATATAATATTCTAACTTCTAAACTATTCTTATGTGCATACATAACTCTAGAACATTATAGGTTATTCTTAAATTCTCTTTACAGCTTTTCCTTCTTGCTCTCTTCGGAATGAAGTGGAATCTTCTAGAGTCTCTTTGATGACTCTCTGTATTCTGACCTTCTTTAGAATCTTCCATCCTGTGCTTGTCTTGCCGATTTCTCGAATATGGCGGAGCGTGACACTCTCCCCCACTTAAACCTACAATGCCCTCATTGCGACTGCACCTTTGAAATAGCCTCTTTGGTTTGCTCCATACTTGGCAAGCTTTGGCTCTTCCTTGATGCAACACCTCTTCTTGGCTGGCGGCTTATCCCTTGCCTCCACCACGTTCCTTGGCACCCCAACTCTTTGAGTCTTTTCTCCTTCATTGGTATGAAGAATAGCCAAGTTGTCCCTCTTGCCCTGTGAAATGCCATCCCTGAGCTGGATTGCCGATAGCGTTTTGGATCCATGCTTGCTTAACCTTATTATCGGTATTGAGCAAGCTTGACTCCCTTCTGTGATGCACAGGCTATTGGCAAAAGACATTGGGAATTCTCTTGTTTGCTCTAAGAAGTTCATTCCCATAACGACTTTGTAATCATCCAAGGGAATGACAAAGAAGTCTAGATTACCTAACCATGCCCCAATGCTGGTCTTGACTCCCTTAGCCACTCCATCGATTGACATCTCTGCTGAGTTGATGACTTTGATGGAGCCCCTCCTTTAATCATCTGCAACCCCAATCTCTTTGCTTCCTCGCTGGAGATGAAGTTATGGGAAGCATCTGTATCTACCATCGCCCTGGTAGTCTTCCCTCTTATTGTAATCTCCACAAAGAGTAACTCCTTCCCTTGTGGTTTTGTTGGAGCATGCATCGCGTTCAGCAGTTGAAGAGATCCCACATGTGCCTTCATGTCACTTTCTTCTTCCACCTTGTGACTTGCAAGTAGAGAATTGAGGCTCCTTGCAAAGAAAGCAACGGTTTTGATATGACTTGTTGTTAGTCTTCCCCTTATCCCTTGTCTTTGTTGGTGTTGGTTCGCGACGTTTGTCCTCCTTGAGTTCGCCCTTGTCATCCCCGCATTTGTCATTACTCTGCTTATTTTCAGACTTTCTAGGCTCCTTTGAATAATCAACCAAGCTTTCGACAACTGCGATGGCAATGGCAAGATCTTGCACTCCTCACCTCCTAAGCTCGGTCTTTGCCCAATGTTGGAGCCCATCCATGAAGTTGAAGAGAGCATCTTTGTCTGACATATCAGGGATTTCAAGAATTAAGTTTGTAAATTCTCTAATGTAGTCTTGAATCAAACCTTCTTGCTTAAGCCTTAGCAGTCGGGCTCGGGCCTCATCATCGGCATTCTCGGGATAGAACTGTCTCTTTAGCTCTCTCTTGAAGTCATTAAAAGTGGACATGGAGCACAAACCGTTCTCTACATCTCCTTTTCTTCTTCTCCACCAA